GTATAAAAAATGTAAAGATCATCTGATATATTTTCTTTATCAATAATCTGTTTAGTCATAAAATCTTGAAGAATATAATGATTAGTAAAAAAACTATAATACAACAATTTAAATTTTTAGTAAGGTTACTCACAGAAATTATATTGAAGACAAGTTTAGGTAGAGTTAATACAGATGACAGAATAATAGTTGACGTTGGTTTTGTGGTCCCTGAACCCATAATATTATATGTTGACCTATCAGCAATAATTACAAGAAAATGTATTTTGTGTGGTTGAAAACTAGAAAAAATATTAGGATTACCTATCACGTGATCTGTAAAAGCGGAATCAATCACTCATCTGTTTAAGGAAAAAATGAGACATTTTTTTCTGATTTAGTAAGAGTAGAAAATTTATTCAAAAATTCCTGATACTGAATGAATTTAGCATAATCATCAGCTGAAAACATAATAGTTCTCTTAAAATATGAGTTGGCAGTAGTAGTAATAATATTAGTAGTCTGTGTCATCCAATTGCTATTCTTCAATTTCTTATCGTACCGTCTTATATGCTCTTATTTAGGGCAGTAATAACAGACAATATTATCATCCATTTCAATTCATAAATTACAAAAAAAAAAGTCATTCAGAATACCCAAAACACAACAGTCAAAGATACCCGAAAAACACTTCAAATATACCAAAAAATCTGAGAAACAGATTACCTCTTCACACACGACTGTTAATAGTCCTATCAGGACCTCACTGCCAACCACCAGAGCTCACGTGCCGCCGCTGGAGTTCACGCGCCACCGTCGAAATGCCACACGCCGCCACTGGAATGCCAAGCGCCACCACTAGAAATTACCAAAATGCCTCCTTTCAGCTGGAAATCACCACAGACCCCACCGGACAATCGAATCCAGAAGGGGCTAGCAAAAACACCTCAATTGCATTGAAAAACTCCAGGAAACTTGTTGTCACGCGATCTGCTCTACTGTGACTTTTTTCCACTCCGGCGTTCTGGTTTCTTGCTCAGAACAGGCCGGCCGAGCGTCTCTTCAGTCCTTACCTTGTGCCGAACTTGACCCGCATGCAAACCGGCCTTCTCCGATTCACCCGATGCATGAGACTCAAACCATAGAAAATAGCTTACTACGCCTCTTCTGCGTGCACACGTGTCGGCATGATCTAAACTAGTTGGAGACGGTGTCGACTCCCCGACACTGGGATGATGT